GGGGCGGGGCCGCGCGTTGCTAGGAGAGGGGGGCCCCCCCCCCCGCCAGTGTCCCCCAGTGCTCCCAGTGCCCCTCCAGTTCCTCCCAGTACCCCCTAGTCCCACCCCAGGGTCCCCCGCTGCTCCCAGTGCCCCTCCATTTGTCTCCCAGTGTCCCCCAGTGTCCCCCAGTGCTCACCAGTCCCCCTCCAGTGTGCCCCAGTGCCCCCCCCAGTGTCTCCCAGTCCGGGGGGCCCCCCCCCCCGCCAGTGTCCCCCAGTGCTCCCAGTGCCCCTCCAGTTCCTCCCAGTACCCCCTAGTCCCACCCCAGGGTCCCCCGCTGCTCCCAGTGCCCCTCCATTTGTCTCCCAGTGTCCCCCAGTGTCCCCCAGTGCTCACCAGTCCCCCTCCAGTGTGCCCCAGTGCCCCCCCCAGTGTCTCCCAGTCCATCCAGTGTCGTCCCAGTCCTCCCAGTGACCCTCCCAGTGTTCCCCAGAGCCCTCCAGTCCCTCCCAGTGTTGCCCAGTGCCCCCCCCAGTGTCCCTCCCAGTGCTCCCCAGTGTCTCCCAGTCCATCCAGCGCCCTCCCAGTGTCCCCCAGTTCCCCCCAGTGTCTCCCAGTGTCCCTCCCAGTGTCTCCCAGTGCCTTCCCGGTGTCCCCCAGTTCTCCCCTAGTTCCCCCCAGTGTCTCCCAGTGTCCCCCAGCATCTCCCAGTGCCCCCCAGTGCCCCTCCGGTGTCCCCCAATGCAGTCCCCCCCCAGTATCGCCCCAGCGTCTCCCAGTGTCCCTCCCAGTGCCCCCCAGTGTCTCCCAGTCCATCCAGTGTCGTCCCAATCCTCCCAGTGACCCCCCCCAGTGTTCCCCAGAGCCCTCCAGTCCCTCCCGGTGCTGCCCAGTGCTCCCACAGTGTCTCCCAGTGTCCCTCCCAGTGCTCCCCAGCATCTCCCAGTCCATCCAGAGTCCTCCCAGTGTCCTCCAGCCCCCCCCCGCAGTGCTTCCAGTGTCTCCCAGTTCCTTCCCAGTGTCCCTCAGTTCCCCCCAGTGTCTCCCAGTGTCCCAGTGCCCCCCCGAGACCCCCAGTCCATCCCGTGTCCTCCCAGTGCCCCCCCCACGGCCACCCCGCCCCGCAGTGGCACTCCAGATCCTTTATTGCCGCCCTCTCGGCGCTAACGAGGGTGCCACAACGAGGGACCGCGGCACGCGGAGGCCACCCCCCCGCTCCAGCCTGGGGCGTCCCCAGGGTGGGGTTCAGCGTGGTGGTGACGGTGCCAGGACATGGCCCACCAGGCGCCACGTGCCTTCGTTAACGCCCTAACGAGGCTGCCACCATGATGGAGCACGGCATGGAGATGCCACCACCCCGTCTGGTCCTGCTGAGTCCCCAGAGGGTCCCCAGTCCCTCTCCAGGGGGCACCAGGAGCCACACGCCAGGTTCAGCCGTGGTGGACACCACGCCACGATGTGCCGTGCTCCTTCATTAGCTCTTAACGAGGATGCTGCGACGACAGACCACGCCATGGAGATGTTGGCGCTCTGTCCTGTCCCAGTGAGTCCCTAGAGTGTCCCCAAAGCGGCTCCAAGGTCCACGGTTTGGGTTCAGACGTAGCCTGGTGGTCATGGTGTGGTGCTGAGGGCCACCAGGTGCCACGCTCCTTCGTTAGGCCCTAACGAGGCTGCCACCATGAAGGACCATGGCATGGAGATGCCACCACCCCGTCTGGTCCTGTTGAGTCCCCAAAGTGTCCTCAATCCACCTCCAAGCAGCACCGGAAGCCACGCACCAAGTTCAACCATAGCGTGGTGGACACCGTGCCGTGCTACCAGGCTCCTTCGTTAGGTCCTAACGGGGATGCCGTGATGATGGACCCCACCACGGAGATGCTGGTGCCCATCCCGTCCTGCTGAGCGTCCCCCATCCATCTCCAGGCAACCTACGGGCCACACGCCGGGTCCCCATCGGGGTGGACCTTCAGGTGACGGGTGAACTGGGGCTTGTAGCGGAAGCGCTTGCCACAGTGCCCGCAGCCATAGGGCTTCTCGCCGGTGTGGATGCGTTGGTGCTTGACCAGGTTGGAGCTGACGCAGAAGCTCTTGCCGCAGGCGCCGCAGCGGAAGGGTCGCTCGCCCGTGTGGGTCCTCTGGTGCTCGATGAGCGTGGAGCTCTGCCCGAAGGCCTTCCCGCACTCCCCGCACCGGTAGGGCCGCTCGCCGGTGTGGGTCCGTTGGTGGGATGCCAAGTGAGTCTTCTTCTTGAAGCGCTTCCCACATTGCCCGCAGGAGAAGGGCTTCTCCCCCGTGTGGGTCCTCTCGTGCTTGACCAGGTTGGAGCTGAGGCTGAAGGTCTTCCCGCAGCGCCCGCAGCCGTAGGGTTTCTCCCCGGTGTGGGTCCGGAGATGCTTGACCAGGTTGGAGGTCCGTCCGAAGGTCTTCCCGCACTCGGGGCAGGCGTAGGGCGTCTCGCCGGTGTGGGTGCGGCGATGCTCGGTCAAGGTGGAGCTGCGGCTGAAGGCGCGGGCGCAGATGGGGCAGGCGTAGGGCTTCTCGCCGGTGTGGGTCCGGAGGTGCTCAGCCAAGGTGGAGCTCCGGCTGAAGCTCTTCTCGCATTGGCCGCAGGTGAAGGGTCGCTCGCCCGTGTGGGTCCGCTGGTGCTCAATCAGGTTGGAGCTCTGCCCGAAGGTCTTCCCGCACTCAGTGCAGCGGTAGGGCTTCGGCGGCGTCCTGCCGCCCTCCAGGAGGCCCAGCAGGTTGATGAAGCCACGTGGGCGACCACCGCTGCGGGCCGGCGCCGCGACAGCTGGGAGAGGGGAGAGGAACATCTGGTGGGTCACTGTGCAACCACGGAGGGTTATGCCATGCAGGAGAACATCTCCCACATGGCATTTTCTCCACCACGGAGGACTATTCCCAGCAGAAGACCATCTCCTGGGCAATATTTTTCCAGCCAAGCAGGAGAACATCTCCTGGCCACCGTTTTCTCTGCCATGGATGAGTATTCCCAGCAGAAGACCATCTCCTGGCTCACATTTTCCCCATTTTCCCATTTTTTTCCCCCCAAAAGACCATCTCCCAGGTGCTCTTCTGGCCACCCACCGGGCTCGTCCCCATGTCCCCCCCCTCACCTGCACAGGGCTCTGTGGGGACGTCCCCGTCACCCCGGTCCTGGGGAGGACACGACTCCTCACCCGGCTCCATCGTGGTGGCTGCGGGCAGCAGGAGAAAACAGGGGAAAAAAGGCAATAAATGAAAAAAAACCCCAGCGTCCGCCCAATGCTTTTCACCGAAATCAGACAGTTTTCCCCCAAAATGCCCCCCCCTGCCGTTGGTTAATTTGGCAACCCCCACACCTGGGAGTAATCAGCCTGCTTTCACCCTTTTTCATCCCAAAATACCCCCCCATTAGATAATCCCGCATCTCAATTTCCAGGATCAATCAGCCCGGTTTTGCCCTTTTTCACCCCAAAGCATTATCCCCACAATGAGTTAATTTTGCATCCCCTCATCTGAGAGCAATCCGCCCATTTTCCCCCTTTTTACCTCAAAACACAATCCCCACAACGAGTTAATTCCGCACCCCCCCCACCCGGGAGGAATCAACCCTATTTCCCCCCAAAACACAATCCCCACAATGAGTTAATTTTACAACCCCCCACCTGAGAGCAACCCTCCCATTTTCCCCCTTTTTCACCCCAAAACGCTCCCCCCTCCACTAGTTAACTCCTCCCCCAGCCCCAACCCAAGCGATCGACCCATTTTCCCCTTTTTTCACCCCAACCCCCGGGGGGGGGGGGGGCCCCCCCCCCCCCCCCCGCCGCCACCGCCCCCCCCCCCCCGGGGGGGGGGGGGGAGCCTCACCCCGTCCCCGCGAGCGCTACGGCAGCGCCCCGGCGCCCACAGGCCCAATCCGGGTGTTTTTCGACCCGAAACGGCGGTGCTTTGCCCGTTCCGGACAATGGTGGCAGGAGAGCGGCGCTTCCTGCCGCAAAGGCTCCCGGGGACACGCCAAGCACACGCGTGTCCCTTGGGAACACGTGAAGGGACATCCGTGGCCCCTAGGAATACGTTCAGAACACACATGGCCCTGGGAACACGTAAGGGACACACGTGGTCTTGGGAACATGTAAAGGGACGTGCATGTCCCCTGTGTACGTGTGAAGGGACACACGTGGCCCCTGCACACATGCAAAGGCACACACGTGTTCTCAGGGCATGTGTAAAGGGACGCGTGTGTCCTCAGGGCGCATACGAAGGGACATGTGTGGTCCCTGCACATGTAAAAGGACACGTGTCCCCTGGGAGCACGTGAAGGGACACGCGTGTCCCGCGTGCGCATGTAAAGTGACATGTGTGTCCTCAGGGCACGTGTAAAGGGACACGCGTGGCCCCTGGGAACATGTGAAGGCTCCCTGTAACCCCCCAGTGCCCCCCCAGTCCCTCCCAGTGCTCCCAGTAACCCCCAAATCCCCTCCCAGTGCTCCCAGAGCCCCCCAAATCCCACCCACTGCTCCCAGTGCCATCCCAAATTCCCCCATTAACCCTTCATTGCCCCTTGCGGTCCCTACCAGTGCTCCCAGTACACCCAATGCCCCCCCCCCATCCCTTCCCAGTGCTCCCAGTGCCACCCCAAATCCCTCTATTAACCCTCCAGTGCCCCTTGCAATGCCTCCCAGTGCTCCCAGTAACCCCAGGGCCCCCCCAATCCCTCCCCAGTGCTCCCAGTGCCCCCTGAAATCCTGCCCAGTGCTCCCAGTAACTCCTAGTGTCTCCCAAAGCCACCCCAGTGCTCCCAGTACTCCCCAGCGTCCCCCGAATACCTCCCCACTGCTCCCAGTGCCCCTCCAACCTCCACCAGTGCTCCCAGTGCCTCTCATAGTCCCTCCCAGTGCTGCCGGCATCCCCCCCAGTGCCCTCCTAAACCCATCCCCACTGCTCCCAGTGCCCCCTGAAATCTCACCCAGTGCTCCCAGTAACCCCCAGTCATGAACCACAGCAGCAGCGTTCACTACTATTTATTGACGCCTGGGTCCCTTCTGGGGGGGGAGAGATGGGGGGGTCATGGGGAGGTGGGGTGGGGACATGGAGGTGGGACAGGGGCCTGGGGATGCTCCCCGGGCTGGGGACATGGCTTTGGGGCAGGATGAAGGAGTTGGGCGAGGACAAGATGGTTCTCCAAGATGGAGACATGGACCATAATGGATCTTGGAACGGTCTTCCAAGAGGAAGCCATGGCCTCGGGGTGTCATGATGGACCTGGGGCAGGATGGGGATCCCAGGGTCGTCCTCCAAGATGGAGATGTGGTTCTGGGCCAGGATGAGGATCTCGGGGTGGTCCTCTGAGATGAAGTCATGGCCTTGGGGCACCATGATGGACCTCGGTCAAGATGAGGGATCCCAGGATGGTCCTCCAAGACAAAGCCATGGCCTTGATGGACCTCGGTCAAGATGAGGGATCCCCAAACAGTCCTCTGAGATGAAGCCATGGCCTCAGGGCACCACGATGCACCTGGGTCAAAACGAGGGATCCCAGAATGGCCCTCCAAGATGAAGCCACGACCTTGGGCACAATGATGGACCTCGGGTCAAGACAAGGGATCCTGGGATGGTCCTCCAAGACGAAGCCATGGCCTCGGGGCACGCTGACGGACCTGGTCCACACCGAGGCACCCCAGCCTGGGTCGATGGCGGTCTCAGGCGAGGTGGGTGCGCTGGTGCTTGCTGAAAGCCGAGCTCCACCCGAAGGTCTTGCCGCACTGGGCGCAGCGGTAGGGCCGCTCGCCGGTGTGGGTGTGCCGGTGCTCCAGGAGGTTGGCGCTCTGCCGGAAGCTCTTGCCGCAATCCCCACAGCGGTAGGGCCGCTCACCGGTGTGGGTGCGCCGGTGCTTGGCCAGGTGGGAGTTTTGGCAGAAGCTCTTGCCGCAGAGCCCACAGGTGTAGGGTCGCTCGCCGGTGTGGGTCCGCTGGTGCTGGATGAGGTTGGAGCTCTGCCGGAACGCCTTCCCGCACTCGGTGCAGCGGTAGGGCCGCTCGCCGGTGTGGGTCAACCGGTGCTTGGCCAAGTAGGAGCCGAGGGCGAAGCCCTTGCCACAGAGCGGGCAGAAGTGCCGCTCGCCCGCCCCGTGGGTCCGCCGGTGCTCAGCCAGGTTAGAGCTCTGGCTGAAGATCTTGCCGCACTCGGGGCACTTGTAGGGTTTCTCGCCAGTGTGGGTCACCTGGTGCCGGAGCAGCTTGGAGCTCTGCCCGAAGGCTTTGCCGCACTCCGGGCACTTGTAGGGCTTGGCAGGCGGCCGGCAAGCCCGGAGGTGCCGGGCCAACCGGCAGCTCCAGAGGAAGGCGGCTCCGCAGTGGGGACATCCCAGCTGGTGCCGCAGGCCGGCTGGCTGGGCATAGGCTTTGCCGCAAGCCTCACAGCGGTAGGGCTTGGCTACCGGACCGTGCCGTCGCCGGCGGTGCCGGGCCAGCTGGGCGCTGCCCTCAAAACGCTCAGGGCAGAGTGGGCAGGCGAAGGCACCAGCGTGGGTCTGACGGTGGAGGAGCAAGGTGCCACCATGCCGGAAGGCCTGGCCGCACTCCTCGCAGCGGTGCGGCCGGTCGTCATCACGGTCATCACCATCGCGGTCCTCGGCAGCGTCACCCTGATCCTTGCCGTCACCGCCATGATGTTTCTTCCGGTGTCCCGCCAATGCTGCTGGCCGGGGGAACTGCTCGCCGCAGTCCCGGCACCGGTGCCCGCCGTGAGCCCCCCGCCGGTGCTTGGCCAAGTCGGAGCTGACGGCGAAGCGACGGCCGCATTCAGGGCAGGCGGAGGGGCGCTCGCCGGGGGGGGG